TTTTTACAAATTGCAGCGAAGTTGCTAAATGCTTTGTTCCCATTAATGGCTGAAGTCGCTTGGGATATGAAATGACATTACGAGAATCAAATTCTGTATCATCGCCTGCGCAATTCGTACCGTTTCTTAACGTACAAATGAGAAAAGGAGAATTATTAGAGATCGATAGAGTCCAAAAGCAAGAATAGTAGTTGGAATAAGACCGGCAGACGGGAAAGGCTCTCACTGGAAAAGCAAATTCATATGCATCTCTCGAATTCAAGTATTATCTTATACTAACTTTACTTCTTAATATAAAAAATAGTTTAGTTTAATTTTTAATTTAATTATAAATATAAAATTTCAATCCATTTTATTTCTCGTATTTATCAATTTTACTTTCAAATAATTTTTATAATAGTTGCATATGTCAAGAAATTACTATCAATTGGTAATTCAAACACATATAATTAATAAGGGTAATTTAGAAAAGAAAATATCTCTTTACTACAGATAAATAATTTAACTAATATTTTTAATATTATCAAATTAGTCAATTAGATCTCATAACAAGAACAATATGTATATCAAGAACCGGAGGTAGTATTTTATAACTCCAGGATAATTTCTTAAAAGCATCCAAAGTTCCCAACAACCAAGATTCTCATTTATGGGTCCCAGACTAAAGGAGTGTTTGGATAGAAATAAAATTATAATTTTAACTCAATGATCCATATTTAACATTTTATAAAAATAAATATCATTATAATTATAAATAAAAATAGATAAATAAATTTGAATTGTTAAAATTTGATCTGAACAATTCATAATTATATATTATCATAAGGTAGATCTTTTTCCTTATCTTTTCATCACAATTGTGAACTATTCGGATCATATTTCAATAGTTTAAATTTCTTTATGTATTTCTTAAATAAAATTATAGTAATATTTATTTTTATAAAATATTAAATATGAACTATTGGAATTTTGATAAAAACAGTGATAAAGACAAAAGGAGTGTGGAGGAGAGGATCTGAATACTCTCTGTTAGCTTCAACATGGCAGAGCTGATAGGAACATATATGATTTTTTTCCCAGAAGAAAAGTGTTACAATAATTTAAAATTTATGTTGACATAATATTTAATATTTGCCATCATCATAGTTCTAGTATGATGATGAATAAGTAGGATTAAAAACAAGCTGTGCTGAGAGGGGAAAAGTGCAAAACGATCAATGAAAAACTAATTGTTTGATGTTATTATTTTTATGAATGCTTTTCATGTAATATATTATTTTTTTACTATCATCTTGGATATTAAAAACTTTTTTCTTATTCGGAAAACTTATGACACCTGTTACAATACAAATAGGTGTGATAACAAAAACAAACCAGGTGCCATTACTGTTTAATTTTTTAATGTGCGCAATTTATTGTTCTCCTTCAACATTAACATGTTTTAAAAAAATTTATTAGTTTAAGTGGCAATTTATTTCCATCTTATTTAAAATTTTTGAGAGTTCATTTACATGTGTGTATATATATAGTTGATATATTTATGTATGACGCCTGTTATACACGCACATATATCAGTGGTGATAAATAATAATCTTGTTTACAGCTTCTGTTCTTAACGCAACAGAAGCCGTAGGTTCTTATTACTTCTACTCCTTTAGTAACCGGAGCAAAATCTAGTAGTCAAAACTGACATTTTGCACTTTTGACCAAAAAAAAAAAAACTAACATTTTGCACTAGTGATGCAATCTCCCAACCTCTAGTTCATAGTGGAGTTTTTATATCATTAGATTGATATAAGAGCTATTTTTTAATTACTAATTATTTTTAAGTATAAATTAAGTTAAAGCCAAGTAATTTTTAAAGTGGGTGAGTATCTCACAATTTATACCATTTCATATTGTCAATTAGGTAATGGATGGATTTAGGCGATCCTAAGAAAAAAGGATCATATAATTAAATCAATTATATATAAATAGGACACTGAATTTTTAATATAAGATTTGGTTAACTAATTTGAAAATATTAAAAAAATTATTAAATTACTTAATTATAACATACGTTACATGGTCTCTCTAAAATATTTACCTAAATAATTAGATTATATATCAATTTATAAGTGAGACAAATTAGTTTGGAGAATGATAATAAATATAAATAGAATAACTTCTTTTAATTTTTTAAAATTAATTAATTGAGTCTTATATAAAAAGCCGAAATAATACTTTCGATCATAAATATAAAAGCTATTTTGTAGTGTAATTTACACTACAAAATAGCTTTTATATTTATGATTGGAAAAGTATATAAATAACATTGTATTCTTGATGTGGATGTCGGCACCAAACAATTGGCCAAACGATGTATCACTCCCCTGGCGCCGCGTTAATAAGGATAATTTGCATTTCCTAGTCCGAACTACTAATTACTACTCCCTCCGTTCCTTATTATAAGAGACAAATAACCAAATTATGTTGATCAAAAAAATAGTTAAAATTAGTTGAGGACAATTAATGTGTAGAAAGTATAATGTTTTTTCAACAATGCCCCCATTAATAAGGAGAGAGAGTATAAAAGAGAACAATTAAATTATTAAAAGAAAGAGAAGTGGGAGGGAGAGAAAGTATGAGTTGGAAACAAAATAAATAGGGGTAAAATAGGAAATCAATACAAAAAAATAGAGACAACTTTTAAGTGTCTCTTATATATGGGAACATGCTATAAACATCAAATGTCTCTTATAATAAGGAACGGAGGGAGTAATTACTAAAGCAAAGAGCCCCACCTGTTATAACCATCCTAATATTAGCTGTTAAGCATGATTTGCATTCCCTTTTCCTATTTAACCACTTAAAGCAAAAGGCCTGCCTGTTATAATAATGCTAATATTAGTTGTGTAAATGTGCAATAATTCAATAAAACTTTTTTAAATTTTTGAATTTTAATTTATATATAATAATAAATTCCGAACAAAATAATTTGTTGCTTGCATTTTTATATTTTGATGATTATGCTGCATATATTTTTAATACGTACAAAATAAGCTGTTCATTATATTTTTTGTGTACACAAGAGCAATAAGTTATAAAAAAAATTATTAAAATGACATTTTATGAGACGGACAATCAAATGTTGAAAAAAAAATGAAATTAAAAAGAAATAGCTGTTGGCTCTTGTCTTTTTTTTTTTTGCTTTTTGAAAAGTGCCGCCACAGTGAAAGCAAAAAAATGGAAAAGCAAGTCAATCGTTATGTCGGTTTCCAATTACGCAGTAATTTGCCTGAAGCACCCAAACAACCAAAGGAACACTTTCGTCTATCCATGCCTTAACAACTCAGCAATGAAGCATTAACAACTCTCAGTTTCTTTGTTCCATCTTTGTCCAGTTTTCTTCCTTCCTTCGTTCCTTGCTACAGAATATTTTCTGCAAACTCTAACACGGCGGAGTTGGTAGCTGAAGCATTTCTCTCCTCCTTCCTTCTGGTGGCATTCGAGAGATTGGCTTCTCATGACTTTCTCGACTACGATGATTTACAAAGAAAATTGCTTGTCATCCTTATTTCTGGGTTTAAATTATGAATTTGAAAATATTGAGGAAAAGACCAAAATACCTCCATTTGTCAAACAGAAAAAGAAGAAAAGAAAAACCTTGCCGGAGACCCATTGGAATATTATGATGATTATAAATTAAAAATAGATAAATAAATTTAAACTGTTAAAATTTGATATTATCATAAAATACATTTTTTCTCAATTTTTTTATAATAGTTGTGAACTATTTGGATCAAATTTTGACAGTTTAAATTTATTTGTACATTTCTTAAATAAAAATATAATAATATTTATTTTTATATAATGTAAATATGAACAATTGGAATTTTGATCGGAGAAAAGGAGGGTAGCGGAGAGGATCTGAATACTTTCAGTTGGATACAACATGGCAGAGCTCATAGGAAAATATATACATATTTTTCCCAGACGAAAAGTGTTACAATAATTTAAAATTTTATGTTGACATAATATTTAGTATTTGCTATCACCATGGTTCTATTATGTACTGTTTGGACACCATGTCATTTATTTCACATGGCTCATGCATATTGGCGTATTATGTGCATTAGAAAAATTATAATTCTGAGAGTCCTTAGTGATATTGAAATCTTTTTAATTTATTAAGCGGACAATTCAAAAATGCAAAGAGATCATGAAAAAAAGTGAAAAATTATTCACAATGACCAAATTCAAAAACTACTTATTCCAAAGGATTTTAAGTCTTAAAGGCTTGAATGACTGGTGGTAAATTTTCGTAATCTGAGTGTTGATAAAAACTTGAACTTAATCAAAAGAAATAAAACAATAGCTGGAAATTCCTCTGGGAAGGCATAGGTTATGAACGTTAGGCCAAAAACACAAGTTATTTATTTGTACTCTTATGGTTTATTCCGCTGTCTTGAGTAATATGAGACTAATTCATTCTGACATGCCCACGCTATAACTCCAACGACAACCTGTGCTGAGAGGGGAATAGTGCAAAACAATCAATTAAAAACTAATTGTTTTACTATTATCTTGGATATTTTACAACTTGCAATGAAGTTGCTAAAGGATTTTCCGCCATTAATTATTGCAATCGCTTGGTTCTCTATCCCCGCCTGTGGTTCGTATCGTTTTTCAAAGTACAAAGAAGAAAAGGGGAATTATTAGAGGTAGGTACAGGACAAGAACGACTGTTGGAAGACTGGCACATGGTAAAGTTGAATTTTCAAAAGTTTATCCGAACACGCAAGTTCCTATGCATCCCTCAAATTCAAGCTTATCTTGTATTTTATAATTTCAGAGTAATTTCTTAGAACCATCCAGAGTTTCCAACAATCAAAGAAAGACTTCACCTGTCTATGCCTCACCACGCATTACTGAAGCATTAACAACTTCTCAATTTCTAGTTCTATCTTTGTCCAGTTTTCTTCCTTTTTTTTTTCTGAATACTTTCTCTTAGCTTTGACATGGCGGAGCTGGTGGCTGGAGCGTTTCTCTCCTCTTTCCTTCAAGTGGCATTTGAGAGATTGGCTTCTCGTGACTTTTTCAACTACTTTCGTGGCAGAAAGCTTGATTATGACTTACTGACAAAATTGCGCATCATCCTTCTTTCCGTGGACAAAATTGTTGAAGATGTAGAGGAAAGGCAATACAGAGACCATCGTGTGAAGCTATGGCTTGATGAGCTGAAAGATGAAGTCTTTAAGGCTCAGGACTTGCTGGACGACATTGCTATTGAGGCATCACGACAGGACCTAGATGCTGAATCGCAAAGTACTACTGTTATCCACAAGGTACGAGGCTTCTTTACTGCTCTTGGTAATCAAAATCAGTTTGACAAAACGATAGAGTCAAGGATCAAAGTGGTGCTAAACAACCTGGAGTATCTTATAAAGCAAAATGAGATATTGGGATTTAGGGAAGGGCCATCTACTGGTATTCAATTGGGAGTGAATGGGAAAGAATACAAAAGATTGCCTTCCACAATTTTGATAGATCAATCCAATATGTATGGTAGAGATGCTGATAAAGAGATGATTGTGAAGATGTTACTATCAGAGAACATGGGTGGGAATCAGTCGCCTTTGGATGTGATTGCCATCATTGGTATGGGTGGGATGGGCAAGACGACCCTCGCACGACATGTCTATGAAGATGTAAGTGTGAAGGATCAGTTTCAACATAGAGTTTGGGTGTGTGTTTCTGAAGACTTTGATGCTCATCAAAGTACAAAAGTAATTCTTGAGTCACTTCAACCTGAAAAGAAGCGATCAGATGATCTTTGCTTATGCTCGCCTAAGAAATTCTTGCTTGTTCTTGATGACGTGTGGAACGAGGACAGTAGAATTTGGGAGGTCTTCCAAGCTCCGTTGAGACAAGTAGCAGCACCACAGAGTAAGATTCTTATCACAACTCGTAATAGAAAGGTGGCAGAAGTCATGTGTTGTACCTACTCGTATCCTTTGAAGCCATTACAAGAAGAAGATTCTTGGAAATTATTTGCAAAACATGCATTTGACAACCAACATGATGACGGAGATCCAAATCTCAAACCGATCGGTAGAAAAATCGTGAACAAGTGTGGAGGATTGCCTTTAGCAATAAAAACACTGGGAAGTTTGTTGCACAGAAAACTCTCTTCTCAGTATTGGGGTAAGATTTTGGAAAGTGAGATTTGGCAATTATCAGAAAATGATAGCAACACTATCCCATCTTTAAGATTAAGCTATCACTATTTACCGTCAAATCTAAAACGTTGTTTTGCATATTGCTCCATCTTTCCTAAAGATTATGACATAGACAAGAATGTCTTAATCCAATTGTGGATGGCAGATGGTTTAATATATCCGACCCAAAGAAGTATGAGTTTTGAAGAAACAGGTGATGAAATTTTCAAAGATCTAGAGTCGAGGTCTTTTTTTGAGCCATCGAAAAGAGGTGGCGATTATTTTGTCATGCATGATCTTTTGAATGATTTAGCAAAATCTATGGCAGGAGAGTTTTTTGTGTGGCTCGATGCTGCTCAGACACAAGATATGTCAACCAAGACTCGCTACTTTTCATATATAAGACGCAAAAGCGATAATGTTGACATTTTTGAGAGAGTTCTAAAATGCCACCAATTACGTAGTTTCATCCAATTTGACAGTCTTAGCATTGGCGATGATGTAATGTCTAGGTTTTGTCGTCTCAAGTACATACGGCAATTATCTTTGAAGGGATCTCAAAATTTGAGAAGCTTGACAGATGGCATTAGCAATTTAAAGCACCTGCATTACTTGGATCTTTCCGATACTTCTGTTATGAAATTGCCAAATTCAATGTGCTCATTGATTAATTTACAAACATTGAAATTAAGAGGCTGTCGTCACTTGACTGAGTTGCCATCAAATTTCTACAAACTCATCAACTTGCGTCATCTTGACTTGGAAGCCTGTGCCATACAGAAGATGCCAAGATGTATGGGAAAGTTCAATCAGCTCCAAACAATGACTATGTTTGTTGTGGCAAAGAAAGGAGGACCAAATATAAAAGAATTAGGAGCCTTTAACCACTTAAGAGGCTCACTTACCATCTCAAATATGGAGCACATAAGTGATCTTACAGATATGAGGGAGGCCAAACTGGACGAAAAGAAATTGGATAAATTGACGTTGTCATATCGGGGAGACAGCTATAGTCCTAAAGAGGCACAATGCCTGGAGCAGGTATTGGAAGCGGTTAAGCCAAATCAGAGTGTGAAAGAGCTCACTATTGAGGGATACAGAGGTACCAAATTTCCAAAGTGGCTTCTTGGTGTTGAAACTTTTTTACCCAAGTTAGTGTCTTTACTTTTGCGCGGTAACAATGATGAGAGCTTATTACCACCACTTGGGCAGCTACCTTTCCTCCAGAAACTCGTGATTGATGGATTTGGCGGAATAAAGGCGATACGTGAAGACTTCTATGGGAATGGCTCCTCAGTTGATCCACCATTTCGTTCCCTCTCATATTTAAAGTTTTCTAATATGAGAAAATGGACAGAATGGGTTTTATTTAAACAAGGTCAAAGTTTCCCATGCCTTGAAGAACTTCATATACATTATTGTTGTGAACTGAAAAATTCTTTGCCTCAACACCTTCCTTGTTTAAAAAAACTAGAAATTAAGGGATGTGGGAGTTTGAAGGCCATGCTTCCCAAGTCCCTTGTCATAGAAAAACTATATTTAGATGACTGTGCGAAGATATCAGTGCAAGACATGCCCAGATGGAGCACCTCAGATTTGCCTCCACCTCTGCATGACCTATACTTATGGCGTTGTCCAGCAATGAAATCTCTACCCCAAGGAGGTATGCTTTCCAGCCTACAACGTCTTTCAATCGATGGGTGTTCAAAGCTCATTGCGCGTGGTAGGGATTGGGGTTTGCATGAGTTGTTGTCTTTGAAACAACTTGAAATTATTGATGAACACATGAAGCGGTTCCCTGAAGAGGAGAGATTGTTGCCGCCCAATCTCCAATCTCTGTCATTCAATTATTGTCGCAAGTTGGAAAGCATATACCCTAAGGGTCTTATGCACCTCCATGCTCTCACTTCCTTATCATTTTTGAATTGCGATTGCGTGAGTTTTGAAGGCATGCCAAAAGATGCTTTACCTCGAACCCTTTCTCAGTTAACTATTAGGTTATGTCCGGTGCTGAAGGGAAGGTGTGAAAAGGAGAAAGGACTAGATTGGCCTAAAATTGCTCATATCCCTAATATAATCATTTTTGACGACTAAAGACTCTCTAAAAGGTACTTCCTCTATACTTATTCATGACAAATGTTGAGCTTAAGTTACATACAAATAAGTTCCTCCATGGCATGTCAATATGCACACACATACACCATATACATTCATATTCATGTTGTATGTTTCATTCTGCCCTGTATGTGCTTGATTTAGAAGAGACCGAAAATATCATGGATTCTTTCCAACTATATTTGCTCTGTACATAAAAGGTTACTTAATAATTAAGAATTGGAATGCCCCAAATGATTGCTTAAAGCATTGCATGGGGCCTTAAAAATATACGTAGCTCAAGAATAATATGATTAATTTAAAAGAGAGATTTAGGGAACAAATCTCCTATAAAAATTTTATTGATGAGAAGGACGTAATTATCATAGTATCAACACTGTATACTTTTTGTGTATAAAAATTTATGGTCCTTCTCACCAATAAAATTAATCAAAACTAAATTAAGGCCAGAAATTGAGAACTACTAATATTTTAACCCACTTTTTATTGCATGTGCGTGTGTAGGTCTGTCGGAGAAGATGCCAGTAACTGTTGGAACCCTGGACACTGCAACGCATCATGTGGTTTCAGAAGGTGTTGTGTTTGTTGTCAGAAACCTCCTCCTTCTTCTTCTTCTTCTTCTTCTCCCCATCACTTGGATTAATTTAATAATTAATTCTCTCTTTGCTTGATCCGTATTTGTACTACTTTTGTGTTGTGGATCTGAAATAAATATGAATAAGAATATTTATATCTTATTGGGAATAAATTATGCAAGTTATTTTTATCTCATGTTTGAGTATGGCTCTTTACACGTTCTTCTGCTAGTCCAAAATGAAAAATTGACATGACATGATGGTTAATTATAAGCTTAGCTTGTTAGTTATAATGCATATAAGATATGTGAAAATATTATTCTTAAAATTTGGTTTAGTCAATGATATTGGATATCAAATTATTCTTAAGAAAATATTTTGATTGTCAAGACTGATGGCCACTTATGTCGATAATAATATGTGAAAATACAAAACTATCACCATATAAAATATTGTGCTACCGAATACACCTCAAAAATAAGATTAAGATGCAGATTTACCCATTATATATTTGAATTGCTTTTATAACTTTTTGTTTTGAATTAAAGATGCAAGTATTAGCGACCTAAGGTTATAAATTATGAAGGAAAATGAAGTCCAAAATTAAGACGCCAGCTGAATTGCTAAATGGGGCAATTGTGGAGGCAAAGAGAAACAAATATTTTTATAAAAAGCACCTTATAGCGTCTGGTCATTGAAAGGATCAGACGTGAAACATATAAAAATTAAAAAGAACTTATGGTGTCAGGCCCAAAGAAGACAGACGCCATCTCTCTGTTTTTTTTTAAACTTTCATTTGTTTAAACTTTTTTCTTATTCTCAGGCCCAAGAAATTTTTTCTTTTTGGGAAAAATTATGACACCTGTTACAATACAAATAGGTGTGATAACAATTTTCTTTTATAATAATTTTCATTCATCTGTGGCATCTGTTCCAAAACAAACCAGGCACCATTACTTTTTAATTTTTTAATGTGCGTAGTTTATTGTTCTATTTCAAAGTTAACATGTTTTAAAAAAAATTTATGAGTTTAAGTGGCAATTTATTTACATCTTATTTAAAATTTTTAAGAGTTAATTTACATATGTATATATAGTTGATATATTTATGTATGGCGCCTGTTATATGTATAATAGTGTTGATAGAATGATAATCTTACTTACGGCTTCTGTTCTTAATGCAACAATCTCCAGAAGCAAAATCTAGTAGCCAAACTCACATTTTATACTAGTGTTTTTACAATCTCCAGTTTATCATAGAGTTTTTATGTCATTAGACTTCAAGGCGATTGATATAAAAGCTATTTTTTGATTACTAAATTATTTTAAAGTATAAATTAAGTTAAAGCTGCTTGTAATTTTTAAAGTGGGTGAGTATCTCACAATCTATGCCATTTCATGTTGTCAATGAGGTAATGGATGGATTTAAGCCACCTTACAAAAAAAGGATCGTATAATTAAATCAATTATATATAAATAGGACCCCAAATTTTTAAAATTACTCTCAAAATCTTGGAAAACAATCACTATTTAAAAGACTTCAAAAAAATCATACAATGGGGATATATGTAGAAGGAATTCACACGTGTCAATCCAAAATTTAATTTCCCTATTTAAATTTTCAAGGTACGTAATTTTGTTATGTTCCACGCATATAATAGTTGATAAAAATATGCTAAATAATATCACAACGTCACTCGATTAAAAAAAAAATCCGTCACATATATACTTCAATGAATTAATAACCAGTTCAAGATTTGTTCATTATTATTTTTCCAAAAAAAAAAAAGTCACAAGTGTTTTCCAAATGCAGCTGTCAATTTCAGGTTGTCTTGCATCAGTTTGGGAAATTCATACTAAAAATTTACAAAATATGGAAAAGATGCACAAATGCCGCTTTTAAATTCAATAGTTAATTACATTTATGATGTGTTGCATTATATTAGCCAGTTTTTTTTTCTCCTGAAGGCAAAAAAAAAAAGTTTCTTTCTCCAATTAAAATTTTTCAAAGGGTGAAAATGCAAAACTATCCTTATAGAGGAATAAGGTTTTCAAATCTGAAAGAAATTTTATATACGCGCACGAGACATATATGCGCGTATGCACACATTCTTAAATATAAGTCAGCAATACAAACCTCACATATATTTAAAAAAATGAGATAAATATATATAATATAGTTTATTAACTAATGAAATTTGTGCCATAATACAATTATTTTCCGTCGCTCCTGATTACACAATAGTTTTCTTCTCCGTGAACATTAAGGAGAAAAAGAGAAAGGAAGGAAAAAATTTGCATCAAGCAAAGACATAAAAATGTAATAAGAAAATTTTTTTACAACAATATTGAAATTAGTGGACATATAAAACAAAACAATGGAAATTGATTCTCCTTTTATTTATATATATATAATAATTATTTTTAGTTCATATTAAGTTTAATAGTTAGTTAACATGTAAAATTGTATTTGGGCTAATCCAAACCTAAATGGGCTTTAGCTTTTTTTTAAACGGCAGACTGAAAAGGCATGATTATTTGTAGCAACAAAATAAAAAAGAGAGAGAGAGAGAGAGAAAGGCATGATTGTGGCCCTGTTTGGTAGAGTACTAGAAATTACTTATAAGCACGTTTCATGTAAATCGAAACAAAATTTTTTTCACATACTTACCTTATATTCTGTAAATCACGATTGAAAAATTATTTATAAACTATTTCAAAGAGGCCCTATAAATTTAGCTTTTCGAAGCTTAGTACAAAATTTTTTGGCACTTACTAACCCAAATTACAGGCTCTAATTTTGAGGGCACACGCGCAACAGCCAAGCATATCCTAAAAGTTGTTAGATATTAGTATCCATTGCCATAATAACTAGGCATTTAATTAAATTTATCAGATACTACTCATCAAAATATGAGCCCATTTAATTTATTTCCGTAATCAATCATTTAAAGAATTATTAATTCAAAATTTGTAAAACCATAACTATAATATTTATTTCTTGCAGGAATAATTAAATATTCATTGTATGAAATATATTATTTCCATGTGATTCATCTTGGTTTCGCATATATATTCGAAGTCATTCTCCTTCCTACATATGACAAAAACAACATTTTCTGGTGCTGATAGCCAAGAAAAAAAAAAATCAAAGACATGGCAAAAGTTTCACGCAATTTGGTTTGCTTAATGGTTTTGTTTATCATTGCGTCAGGTAACTCTCTCTCTCCCCTTCTTCTTTTAAAAAATTTTAATAGTTCATGAATTATCAACAGTGTAACTTTTTAAAATTTTGGGTTATATATATATATATATATATATATATATATATTGCGGGTGATTGATCTCAAACATTGGGGGAATTCATGATGCTTCTTACAATGACAAAGCGAAAGGGCCAATATGTGTGCAATAAACACTGGACAAAAAAATTTATATACAAGTTTAGACTGAAAATAAATCTTTTAAGTATATTTTTGAATCGTTGGGTCGTTTAACACGATGACACTAAGTACTTCTTTTAAGTCTCTTTTTTTTTGTAAATGTGAGATCCTGGAGTATGATGGTTGTGTGAGTTCTTTCAATGGATGGAAAATGAAAAAAAAAAAGTGAATCATAATATTAATAAATGAGTCGCACTATTCATGAATAGTGAACAATGTAATTTGTTAAGAATTTTTGTATTATATATAGGGTTAAGGAGCGAATTTGTTTTGAAAGTTTTCACTCAAAAGCACCAGGCACTTGAAAGTATTTTTGGGTACAAATTTGCCTTGAAAATTTAGAATTGTAGCAATAATGCCTTCTATTATTACAAATATTAACGGTCAACGTCATCATTTTAATAGTTGACGATGATTTTTTAATGGTATAAGGCAATATTGTTATAATTTTAAACTTCTCAAGCAAATTTGCACAGGAAAAAAACTCTTAGGTGCCCAACACTCATGACGAAAATTTTCGAAACAAATTTACACTTTAACCCATATAATAAACATATATTATTGATTCTTGTGTAAAAAAAAATTACTTATAAAAAATAAAAATTTAATAATTAGGACTTATCTATTTCTATTCAATATTGTGGGTATGGATTTGTAGGAATGGTGTCAAAAATAAGAGCACAGGGGCAGCCATGTGTGAAGAATGAAGACTGCATCAAGTTCTGTCCCATGATATGTGATGTGCCAGGTTCCGTCAGCAGGTGCAAGGGTGGTTTCTGTGTCTGCTGCGAGGGACCTCCTCATTTAATTTGATCATGTTCATCTCATTGCTTCAATAATGATAATAATTGTACTACTCTTATCTATGCTTTAAATCTCAAATAGTCAATAAGCAGAGTTATATTAGCATAGTTATATTTTTATTTTGGAATAGTATATTGAGACATGCATCATATATTTGA